TCTGTAACCTTGATATTGCCCAGAGTTGCTCCACAGTGACTTTGGACAGTAGCTCTACCCAGTATCCAATCCATGCAAGTGTTGAAAAGTGTTGGTGCAAGGACACAGCCTTGCCTCACGCCTGAGCTAACAGGAAAGAAGCTCGACAGGCCCCCACCACACTTTACAGCACTTTCAGTGCCTGTATACAAGTTTGCTATTAGCCCAACAATCCTTGTTGGAATTCCTCTCAGTCTCAGGATCTCCCAGAGTGATTCGCGATGCACCGTGTCAAACGCCTTCTTGAGGTCGATGTAGGCTGCAAGCAGCCCACGTCCGAACTCACGACGGCGCTCTACAATGACTCGAAGCGCCAGGATGCGGTCTATTGTGGACTTACCAGGAGTGAATCCAGATTGCTCCGGTCTTTGGTGCCTCAGGAGGTGGTCTCTGATACGTCTCAGTAAGATGTGGGCGAGTACCTTGCCTGGCACACTGAGCAGTGTAATGCCTCGGTGATTGCTGCAGTCCCACCGATCCCCTTTCCCCTTCCAGAGAGGGATGACCATACCCCTCAGTAGGTCAGGGGGAATGGTACCGGTCTGCCAGATGTATGTATATATATATATATATTATGAATATATATGTATGTATGTATATATGTATGTATATATGTGTATGTATATATATAAATGTGTATATATATATATATATATATATATATATATATATATATATATATATATATATATATATATAAATGTATATATATATATATATATATATATATATATATATATATATATATATATATATATATATATATGTATTATATATATACATACATGCATACACATACATGTGTATGTATATATATATATATATATATGTATATATACACATACATGCGTGCATACATATATACATGAGAACATGCATACAGTACATAAACTCGCGGGCGCGCGCAGTAAAACTGAATAAATGAATGAATAAAATAAATACATATATACACATCGTGTACACCAGAATATAAGTTGATGTTTGAAGCCTAAAGATATCCCTCTCAACCCAGGGTCGACTTTAAAATATGAGCCTTTACCATTGAAGGGTAAACAAGTGAAACTGCCTCCATGACACTCGTTGTACACCACTTCCCATAACTCTCGCTGCTCACCACAATTATTTCCAACTGAAACTCGCGTTTGGTGAGTCTATTTAACACAGAGATTATACCAATATCGATGACTTAACTCATATGAAAGGTTAGGTTACTCGTGTTAGAACTCACGACTAGTGTTTTAGAAGAAGTGTTTTTGAATAGTTTAAGAGATACCGTAGTTTCTTCATACAACAGGACTGGAGATGTGGAGCCCCCTACCCTCTATATCATGACCAGGTTGAGCACATTGCTCTGCTCAGTCATGCACATGTGCTAATTGTGCAATGTATTTTGTAAGAACTGCCCTGCCTACAAGCTCGAATCTGATGTACCAGTTCTCAGATTCAAATGAGGTCTCTCTACGTGAGGCAAGAAGTACGCAGACGAGATTTTTCTCTTTCCATTTATTCTAAAACTGTACTTCGCTTTGCTTCCCTCCCATCTTTTCAAGAAGTCTCAGTATCTCCCCAGTATCTCTTCCCTCTACCCGAACCAACCTTTGTTTCTCAGACCTCCTTAACCAACATTCCTCCAGAAACTCTTGAAGACATCCAAAATTTCCCAAACATGACCCAAGAGAATGCACTCCTTCACCCACCCTCTATTCCTAGTCGCTGTACGTTCAAAGAATTTGCCGATAGAAATCCTCCTCCTCCTCTTCCTCAAGTTCCCGCTACCAATCTTCCTCCCACTCTCCCAGAAAACGCTCCTTCCTCTCCTCCTCCATGCACAGCACCATTCCCTCTCCCCCATTACCCTTTTCACCAAAATACTTGACCATACTGCTATACTGATGTCTAGCGCATCTATTTCTTCTAACCCTGAACCATTAACCATACGGTATATTATACATACATACATATGTATGTGTATATGTGAATATATCGTATAAATATGTAAATATATGTATATTCATATATATTCACACACGCATATACACCTTTATACGTAATTAAGTATATGTGCATACATATATACGTATAAGTGAACATAGATGTATACATCTATATACACATAATTATGTGTATATATGTATATACATGTATATGTATATGCATATATACACATGTGTATATACATACACATATATGTGTGTGCATATTAATGCATATGTACATATATGTATATATTCATGTGTATACATTTATATATATGCAAAAAAACAAATATACATATATGTATGTATAGACACACACACACACACATATATATATATGAATGGTAAAAGGAAGAGGAGGGGGTATAAATGAGAGAGGAGAGGCAACGCGGTGAGCATGGAGCAGGTGAGGACAGACGAACGGAAGCGAAGGGAGGTCAGATTAGGTCGGAGGATCAGGTGGTCTATGCGAAGGGTGGCCGGAA